AAAAAAAAAAAAAAAAAAAGCCATACTAGTTTCCTTAAGTTTGTGATTCGCACTCTACCAAAGAACTAAACACCGAAAAGGAGAGACCGATTTCGATAATCAATAACGCTTATAAATTCATTTACCAGAAAAATTAAGGAAAGGACGCAGAGAAACCTTCAGCAAAGCGTCATCACAAGAGTCCGGAGTAAGCGAATGATCAAAGCAACAGAGAAGAAACGGCAAAGAAAAGAAAGCGAAAAATGAAAATACAAGCAGCAATCGTACAAGATTCAGATTGAAAACTAAATAACTACTATCGTAATATACCATTAGGATCCCCCTCAGGTTTGCGTCGCAATGCACATGTTCAATCTCCGCTTCATAAGCATTTCCATGGCAACTCACCTTCTCTCTTCCATCGCCGGAACCCTAACCTCCTTTACCGCCATTTGCTCCCCCTCCATCCTCGGGAGTAGTCGAAACATAAACCTTCGCGCCAAATCCCCAACCCACCGTTTATAGGTTGAATTAGTTGAATACAGAAATACCAATTTAATTTTTAAAATTTCATATACAAAATTAATAATTTGAAAAAATTATGAGATAAAACATGTAATTTTTTATTTTTATTTTTTAAAAAAGAGATACAAATTTTTAAATAGTTTTTGAAGATTAATATAATTAATTTAAAAATTACGAAAAAAAAATCATTGTGGATTCACGACCGGCTTAGACTGTTAAAGCAGACAATATATGCTAGCGATGGGCTTAGAATGTTATACTCGACTCCCACGAAAGAAATACATGTCAATAAGATGCAATGTGTTTACTATGTAAAACCTAAAGAAAATTTCTCAAAATGAAGTGAAGGAGAGATTTGCAAACAAATATAACATCGTTTTTAAAAGGAGCGAGATGTCACAACACGCCTTAGACAAGCATGACCGTGACACAAGCCGAAAAACAAGCACACACATTATACATACAAAAACACCCAAATTACTCGAGCCATATTACTACCTTCATGTTCTCCTTCCAACAACTTCCCACCTAATATCGTAGTTTCTCCTCGTTCTCGCTACATCGCTACTTCGGTTCCCGATCGGTTGCCTACTCGAAACCCTTTTGCTGGAAGAAACCTCACAAGGTGGTTGAAACCCGATGCTTTCAACCGCTCCAACCGTCTTGAATAACCGTCTTCGATTCACTTCCTCGACCAACGAACGATGCAGCAATTGGCTATGTACATCTACTAGTGACCTGTTCCTTGTTAATGTCCGGCCGTCCGTTCCCCTCTTGTCTTTGCGACCAGATGTAGCTCCTTGAGATGACCCTGCTACCGCACATTGGCTCTGCTTGTATAGAAGCCCAGCCATGAAATCCTTGTTTTTGCGGCTCTCAACAGGACAAAATCTTGAGGAGTTTTGAATCTTATTCATGTTGTTATGTTGATCTACCCGGACTGAACTCATACCGGTCTCATACTCGTCGTTGCTGACGTAATTCAAGTTCGAGTATTTTCCCGACGCCGATGAGCACTGTGAGCTGCTATCGTCGAGCGTTTCATCTGAAAATAGTGGTCGTGGCATCGTGTTAGGCGTCGTGTCAATTTTCATAGCATTAGAACCAGTAAAATGAAATCTTGAGCCATACCTGGGAACCAACTTAAACCATTTGATATGTTTTGATTTGTTTTAGGAGAGGTGATGAAACTCAAAGTCGTTGCTCGGGACGACGAGGAGATGGAGCGGAGAGTACGATGAGCTGCATCATCGTCTTCTTCTGAATAGCTGAAGCCGAGTCTATGGTTGGGTAACTCACTTCTATTCCAGTTCGGAACCAGAGCCGATATCTCTCCTTCGATCATGTCCGCTATTTCGAACGGCTCCCAATCGGAGATCTCCAATTCTTTCACCATCTCCATTGCTACGTCTAACGCTGTGTCGTTAACTATGTCGAAGGGGAAGTATATGTTCCTAAGAGAGCCTGCATACAGGTCAAGCATCAGGTTGACAGTAAAATTTCGACGCTGTAGCACGGAAAATGCGAAAAGTTACCATCTTTATCAGCAATCTGAACTCTAAGAAAGAGCGTATCGTCTTCGGGGTTCAGCTTCCCGGTGATCGTCATGTTCGTCCTGTTCAAACCTTCACCGAAGTGCAATTTCTCCATCTCTTTGGCATTTAGAAATGGCTTCTGGTTTTGATTCCTCTCGATCGACAAAGATCTATCTCCATCGACCTTCAAAAATGGATCAGCAAAGAGTTCCTTAGCAGACGCCCTCATCGATACCGGTACCAAACATTTCTTAATAAATCTCTGTGCTTCCGCGTCGTGAATCTTGTACAATGCTGCTGGCAGCTTCCCCTGCATAAAGAAAGAGTAGTGTAGGTATTTGATACTTGTTCCCTTAACGAAACCGATATCGATTCTCAACCCGTGTTCCCTTACCGACGTGACTTTCTTGTAAATCTGTGCGGGATTAGAACACTCGCTATACGGGTACTCGGAAGTAAGCATCTCCAGAACACACATGCCGAACGAGTAGACATCAACCAGCTCGTTGTAATCTTCCTCGTATAATTCCGGTGCCATAAACTCCGGTGTGCCTGCAAAAAGCTCGAGATTAATTATCAATCATAGAATCCGTAAGTCTTTGGTAATAGAATAACGATGGATTCGAACCTATAACACTGTGAGCAGATCTGGAACCATGGAGTATAGCTGCAAGCCCCAAGTCACCAATCTTGACTTGTCCAAGATGGCCGTTTACAAAGATATTATCGCACTTCAAATCTCTGTGTATTATCGGAGGGTTGTGTTCATGCAAATAAACGAGCCCACGTAGAATCTGGCGCGCCCAGCTCTTAATGGCTCTGATATCGACTCGCCTATACTTCTTTACATATCTGCAGAAGGAAGAGGAAGAAGGTTGTTATAAACCATCATAGTTGTAACAGCTCAAGCCCAAGCCCACCACTAACAAATATGTTATCTTATTTAGATTTCCCCTAAAAGTTTTAAAACATGTCCGATAGGAAGAGGTTTCCACACTATTATGAAAAATGTTTTCATTCCCCACTCCAACCGATGTAGGATCTCATAATCCACCCACTTGAGAGTCCAGCGTCCTCGCTGACACATCGCTCGGTGTCTGGCTCTGATACCATTTGTAACATGCCCAAGCCCACCGCTAGTAGATATTGTCCTCCTTGGACTGTCCCCTCAAGGGCTTCCCTTCAAGGTTTTAAAACACGTCTGCTAGTGAGACGTTTCCACACCCTTATAAAGAATGTTTTGTTCCCCTCTCCAACCGACGTAGAATCTAACGATCCACCCCCTTAAGGTTCCAGCGTCCTCGCTGACACACCGCCCAGTGTTTGGCTCTAATACCATTTATAACAGCCCAAGCCCACCACTCACACATATTGTCCTCTTTTGCCTTTCCCTTCAAAGGCTTCCCGCGTTTTCTAGTGAGAGATTTCCACTCTTATAAAGAATGTGTCGTTCTTCTCTCCAACCACCGTAGGATCTCACAATATTACACCAAACCTCGAATATACTAACGACATGGATTAAAACTTACTCTCTAAGCGTTCCAGAAGTAAACAATTCAGTAATGAAGTTGAACGTTTTGCGTTCGACATCGATCCAAGAGGTGTAGAATCGCATGATCGATTCATGCTTAAGCGTACTAAGTAGATGAACTTCCGAATACAACCGCTGCAAATCCTCCGGTGACCGGAGAACTTCATTGAGCTTCACCTGACTCCAAGCCACCTCAATTCCAAGAAACTCATCAATGGCTTTGTACACTGTCTTCATAGCGCCTTTCCCCAAAACATCTTCAAACTACATACATGTTCATCAAGTTCTTCAGTTCATCACAAAGCTTAATCAATCATCAATGATCTTAAAATATTCCCACCTCAAATCCAACACACAAACAAGTTCCATGCAGAAAAGAGAATCAAGATTGAGAAAAAAAGTACTTACACGGCCGTAACGACATGTCGGATCGGTCTCAACGTACCCAAATTCCGAGTTCCAATCAGGGCTGTTACGAGTGTTCTTCAACATGTTCGACGAACAAATCAAGGGCATAACAGAGAGATAAAAGGGCAAAAAAACGAGAAAAGAAAAAAAAACCCAAAAAAGGGCAAATGAAAGCGGTGGTGGTGGTGGTGATGGCGGCGGCGAAGGCGGCAGAGAGAAACTAAATGTGCGGCTTTCCGTCGTGATTCTCGTAAGAAAAGTGGCGGAAAAGAACCCAAAAAAGCCTGGAATAGTCAATTCTAAGCATAATACATCCCATCCCCACCGCCGTGCTGGACGTCTGGAAGGTTCCGATCTTCAAAACCATTTAGCTCGAGAGCTTCCAGTTGTGTAATATGTATAAAACGCACCACCAGTTTTTTGCTCTGGGTTGTGTTTGGCAAGTGGACAGTCAAATTAGGGAATCAAAGAGAACCCAAAAGGGTTAATTGGTAATTGCCTGTTGGTCGTTTCCGTATTTGGGAAAAGGCACTACGGAACTTGGAGAATTCTGTGGCCATGTTTGGTTCAAAGCATAAGCGGCTGAGAAACAAGAAAGAACAGAGCAGACGACGAAACACAGAGATGGCAAATTTGGAAACGGAAATAGGAAGAAGAAAATAAAAATAAAATAAAATTTTATTAATAATTACAAACAAAAAAAAAAAAAAAAAAAAAAAAAAAAAAAAAAAAAAAAAAAAAAAAAAAAAA